AAACATTGCTCCACATATAATTGTCTTTTCATTTTTCAAGTGAAGCCAAAAAGATTCCTTCTAGTATTTTACCGTTTGTACACTTATGTCATTAATAATATAAATTCTTTTTGCCAATAAAAATATTTAAAAAAGAACTAAATAATTCAAATTATATTATAAAAAGAGCAATGGTTAACATACATATCCATTTCCTTAGCTTATCCTGAACGATGCCAGCTGGAGCAGCACTTCTTGGTTTGATGGGGAAGACCTTCACTCGGGTAGCTTCAATTGCAAATTATAATCAATATAGATGAGAAAGAACTAAAAAGTTAGAAAGACAAATGGTGATGCATACATGGAAAAAATCTGGAAAAATAAAGAAGAGAAAATAAGGATAACTGAGTTATGTTACACTCTAAATTGTTCATACATGTGAATTTATAATTTATTTAGCATCTTTATTATGTACATGATTTTTTGTGTACTTTAAACATTAATGAAGTCCCTTACATATCTAATTAGCCGTAGTGGGGGAGCTATGCATGTATTGTTTGTGAATTGTGAGGACCTTATGGCAGAATGAGCTTTATAGACCTTTCAGAAATGTCCTTGATAGTAGTGCTATTGAGACGAGATATCAATGTTAGATATATTGATGTTTGCTTATAGACTAAACTTGTCCGTAAGGATCTGGTGATCAATACTGTCATGCAAACAAGCGCTCGTTCTAAGAGAAAAATATGAGCGTTGGACTAATCACTTGCCTATATGAGAACCATAAATGGTTCAATTTATTATGTAATCTCGTCATGATGATATGAAAAAGATCTTAAACTTAAGATCATCGTACCCTAACGAAAGCTGGAAATGATAAAAAAGCTGACGTGGGAAGCCAAATTGTCTCCTACATCTATTTCTATATTCATTTTTATTTTTTTTAATAATTTAGTCCTGAAATTTTAAGTGTTCAACAATTTAGACCCACTTATTTGAATCTATTTTATGGGGACGAACCACCTGAATATGGGGGCGCAATTTCAGTTGGACTACTACGAAACTTCTTTTCAAAAATATGTTTTCATTAATACGTTGTTTATGGACTTATTTGTTGATATTTAAAACTTTTCAGACTAAAAGACCATTCTATTGAAATGATAGGACGAAACTATAAAAAATCAAAGCAAAACATTAAAGCTCTGTTTAATACATGATTGTGGTTTTGAGTTTTTGGTTTCAAACATTTAAAATGCTAGATAAAACTAAGAAAAAATAATTGATACATACTCAATTCAACAATTTTTTTGTACTTGTCATGGTTCAATTAATTACTAAAATATAATATAACTATAATCGATTAATTAATTTATACAACCTGTGTATACATGATTGTATTATAAAGTTTGTATTATCAAGTTTGTTTGCTTTTAATTTTACATAGTATGTTGAATTAGAGTATGTATAAATTAGTATAAATTAAGTAATTCTATAAATCTATTAAGTTTAGAGTTTCATGTACTTGTTTTAAAATTTTATATTCAATAAGTTGATTTTAATTTTTAATTTTGGTTTTTAATTGTTAATTTTAATTGTTTGAATTTTAAAAATAAAACCAAAAGATCAAAATCACTATCATACAAAACAAAGCCTAAAGAGACGCGGACAGCACTATGAAAGTAATTCAAAACGGACAACAGAACAAATTGAAAAAAAAAAAAGGAAGAAGGAAATATTGCGAAACCCAAAATTCTCCATTTTTTAGGGTATAAGAGTTGTAAGCAATCTAAGATTAAAGTTACTCTTAGCTAAATAATTAAAGATATAAAAAGAGAAATTATATTTAAAATTAAAGAGAAAAGAGAAGTAAAACTTACATTTATATATCCATTGTCCCCAAAGTCCGAGCTCACTTAAGGATTCGGGTGGTGTTTGAGCAAGTGTCAAAATGATTGAAGTGGAATTTAAAGGGTGTTTAAATGCCAACTCTGGAAAATTGTTGAGTAGATCCAATGCAATTTCTGATATATATGTATATATGTAAAGTTTGTTAAAGAAGTAAAACAACAACATTATATCTATCAATAAAAGAGAAGAAGAATGTTAGAATTTTTTACCAAACATCTTCTTAGTTATACACTCCTCGAGGAGGAAGAAGCCACGGTCGTCTTCCTCTAGGAATTCAAGAGGAATCTCCTTATAGAGGTAGCGTGCCATGTCCTTGCGGTCATGAGTAATTGCATGCTGAAGAGCACAGTGTAACATTTGTGGAGATTTTGCACCCGGATTGTCACGGAAGAACCGCCTTACGCTGGAAATGGGCTTATTGTATATACACTTCTGCAAGGTCTCTTGATGCTCTGCCAGTTATGGTTGTAAGAAATTATTGCTTATATTAAAAATTTGAAGTCATAGTACAACCTATTTCTTCAAAATGCAATTAAAAGAGGAATTTTTTTTTGACCTTTTATACCTCTCTTACGATCAAAACCAAGATCCCCAAAACAAGATCTCAATGCCACACACATGACTTCAGCAAATATCAAAAACTAAGCTCTAGAGAACTATCAAATAATGTTTTAAGAAAAAGATGCCTTATTTTACAATTCGGATTACACCAAACTGTAAAATAAGAACTATTGGATTAGAAAGAGAATTTTAATATTAAAGAATCAACTCTCATCTTATGGGTAGTATAGTGCAATCCAATACAATTCCGATTGCACTATACTTTTTTCATTAAGAAAAATATTGATGGCCAAAAAGTTTTGGTCCTAGTTCAACTAGTTGGATTAGTCAGATGCAAATGGTTAGACCATATGACTTAATAAAATAATATTGAATTAATTTATTAATTATAAATTTATCTTTCCTTAATATATTTTATTTTTAAAATTGATTGAGATAATTTTTATAATCATCAATATATTAAAGTTGAAATTATTTTAAATTTATTTTATTTTTGAAATTTATTACATTCCCAAATCTGATTAATTTCAAAATAATTTCATTCCTTAAATGTATTAAAATGCCTGATATTGTTTATTTTATTAGCTATATAAAAGACTAAAACATTAATGTCGTATTAATTATAAAATTAATTTGTTTTATTTTATTACTTTTATTTTCAAAATTAATTTTAATTTTAAATTAATTTCATTCATTTTATTTACTAAAGTAGTCATTTATTTTCAAATATTTTACTTTCAAAATTGATTTGATTTGATTTAAAATTAATTTCATTCTGTAATTTAAAATAATAATTTAATTTCAAATCGATTTTATTTTTAAAACTTATTCAAGTTACATTTGAATTGATTTCAAATTTTCATCGAGGCATAGTAATTTTACTTTAAAATTTAATTTGATTTTATAATTTAATTGTTATATTATCAACAAAAATAATAAAATATAAAAAAATTAAAGAAAATTGTCAAAGAGAAAACTATATATAGAAACGAAGAAAAGCGGAGCCAATTTTGTTTTTATCGATTTTACCAAATTTAGCCAATTATTGACCACAACCAGTTTGGTACCTTAACTGACATGAATTATTAGTAGTAGCGGTCATTGGTTATCAATTGTTGGTCAAGTTGATCGAACGGGCCAATTTGGTCCAGTCCAGTTTTTAAAATATTGTTGCTACTAGCTTTAAAATTAAGTTAAAGGTTTTTTTTTTTTCCCTTTTTTTCCTAGTAAAACTGCATTTAGATTCATCAGCACGAAACGTGGAAAGGTAAATGGACAAAATTACCACTAATATATTTTCATGATTGATAGTATTTTGCTTTTTCAACCTCTATATTAATATTTTTTAGAGTTAGTATTTATGTTCATTTTACTTCTTTTTTAATAAAAAAATTATTTTAAAACTATATTATTTCAATAAAATACTATAATAAAAAAATTTTTAGTTTATATTTTAAAAAATAAAATATTTTAATTAATTTTGTTAATAAAAATTTATTAAAATAATATAATTTTAAAACAATTTTTTTTAATTTTTAAGAAATAAGATGGATAATTAATATTTTTTATTTTTAATTAATGTTTTTAAGTGCAATATAAACTATAAAAGATATTATTTAAAAAAATTAAACATATATATATAGTCAACCTCGATTGCTAAGCCTATTCAAAGACCGATGCGGAAAAAATAGCTCAAACAGTGAGATGGAATACTAAGAGGAATAAAAAGAAAAATAACCTGTTTGCTTTTCTTGGTGAAGCTCAGAAATACCATGAGTAACACCTTGGACAATTGGTGGGGGCTTCAGCTTAGCAGCCAACTCATCCCAAGCATCTTTGGCGGAGCGTATATTCTTTATTTGATCAAATGCTTCTCTTCCACAAGAAATCCCAATGGCATGTAGAGCTAAAGCATTATTTTTCATCCACTCCCTTTCTTTTCCTCCTCCAGGTATCTCACTTGATTGAACAACATCCCAAAGATCTTGAGCCACTAAATAGTGTTCCATTAAAATGCTCCATCTTTCATAATTATCTTCCTTGAGAACTTCAGGGACAATGGCGCTTGTAGATGTAACTATTTCCATATTAGCCTATTAAATATATCACTGTAAATAAAACAAATGTCAGTATGTATTTGAAGAAAGGGGGTAGGAATGTTTTAACGCAACCCAAAACTAACCACTAGATGGTTATGTGTCTTGTTCCATTTGATGGTCTTAATTTTGTAATTTGAAGTAGTTTGAATTACAAAATTGTAAATATATATATATATATATATATTGGAAATTAGTTTGTTATCCAAAACAAGGAGGATTGGGAATCAAAGATTTGTTAAATTTGAATGTTGCTTGTGTGATGAGATTTATATGGATGCTTTTCTCTAAAGCTAGATCAATTTGGGTTGCTTGGGTCCTTGAGTACTTATTGAAGGGAAGAAGCTTCTATACCATTAAAATACTTGCGGATGCCTCTTTGGGATGGAGGAAAATTCTTAAAACGAGGCAACAAAAAGAAGATTCATTTTACTTATTCCTAGGGATGGTTCTAACATCTATATTTGACATGGCAATTGGCATCCTTTTGGGCCTTTGATAGAGTGCCTATCATAAGAAAATAGTTTAAGCTGTAGGAATTCCATACCAAGCTAAGCTTTCAACAGTAGTTCAAGGAAGGTTTTCAAATTGGCCTCCTAGAAGTTCTCCTCAATTGTTGTAGATTCAAATTGAGCTTTGTGATAGGTTGTATCCCAGAGAAGGTGAGAAGGATATTGGACCCATCTCTTTTTCTTTTTTGATGACCTGATCTTACAGTCCGATACAGGATGGATAATAAGACAAGAACTTCTTTTATTTAATGTCCATTAAAAATTCATTGACTTTATAAAAAGGTCATTATCATTTTTTTATTTTAAACTAAGTCATAAGTATTCCTAAATTTTGAAGAAAGATCTACATATTCTGGTCGAATAGCATTGATTATAAATTAATAAAATCACTCCCGATAATTTATAGTTTCGAGCTTCATGAATTTCCTTTTTTTCTATCTTTTTATTTTTTTTTCTATTGTAATCATATTATAAAAAAAAAAATTGAAGAAAGAGCCGAGCGACTCCCTCCATTGACGGGACATCTTAATGCTGTTCATCTACCATTCAGAATTCTCCAAATTTTAATGGTAAAATGACAAAGTTTGTCCCTTAACTTTCAATTCTTGTGCACTTTGAACCTCAAACTTCAGAGTTATTCCATGCAGTCCCTAATTTTAACAATTTTATTGCAATATAATTCTCAAACTTTTGTAAGAGATGCACTTAAATTTCATTTAAGACAATTTTTAACACTAACAACTAAGGGCATATTTGGTTTGGTTTGAGTGGAGGGGAGACGATTACTTGATTTCGTCACCAAAAATTCAAAGAATGGAATGAAACAAAAACCCTTTATTTTATTTTTCGCTTTTAATTTCTTTGAATTTTTTGACATATCCAAATGATATGAGAAGAGATGAGACGAGAGAAGGGATTTAAGGGTCATAATAATATATTGAAAATAAAAAATTAAACCAATTTTTTTGTTTGAAGTTGTAAAATTTATAAAAACTAAAAACCATAAATCACCTAATAAGCAATAAAACATAAACCTAATAGGAAAGGAAAATCAGCCATGCAAGGGGAAGAGAAGCCGCTCACCTTCATACCATGTGTCTCACACGGACAGACAAAAAAGCACCGCCTGTCTTCTCGAACCGAGCTTCACCAACTATGGTTTTTCATGTACAATATAAATTTCAAAAATAAATTAAAAAGGTACTCTAGCAATAGGACCAAAACTATAAAATTAACCATACTTACAAACTTCGTCAGATGATGTTCAGGAACTCATGCCACTAGCTGTTAAACACAGACAAACTTTAGTAAGAATGATTTGGCTGATGACCCTTTCTTTTGAGCGCAAGATAAGTTTAGTCCATGCTATACTTACGTAGAATATATGCAAATGCACATGTGAACTCTCAACAAAGAACATAAGAGGATATCCAGATTGAAGAGATAGATGGCGCATACCTGCGTGCTTGACAGGAAAAGAAAATACAAAATGTGGACACCGGCTAACAAACCTAACTCTTTCTTATAATTGAGGTAGCTAAGGAGTAGAGACAACTTTCAAATGCAGGCAAGTCAATAAGAGGCATCTATGGATATTAAAGACGTTTGGTAAAATTTAAAAATAATTTCTTTAAAGTAAATTTTTATTTATATATCTAAAATAGTGGAGAACTTTGAGAAAATTATATATTTGAATTTTTTTAAAATTTATTTAAAAATTATTATAAATGATAATTTTAATTTATATCAAAAAAATTTTAAAATTTATGATTGAAGAATTTATTTTTAAAAT